CCTCGGCCGGCGCGTATGTAGAAAACCAATAGGTCCGGCGAGGGATATCCCGGAATTTCTATATCGGTGACCTAAGGTCAGCGGTCAATTTTGCAGCCTCCCCATTGTAAGTTAATGGGAGATAATTGAAATGCGCCTCTTTTGCCCCCCTGCTGAAAAGCTGCCCCGTTTGCACTCCCCCCGTCCGGGGGGGGGGGTGTTGCCCCTCCGGGGCAACACTAATGCCCCAAGCAGCGTCTGAGTTTTGGTGGTATTTAACCCGGCAGGCGGTGGGCCTACCAGCCACCTTCCGCGCGGTGGGGGGGGGCACTTTTTAGCCCCCCCCCCGTATCTCCGAAACTACTGGACGGATCCGGAAAATTCAAACGGCGTTCAATAGCCCTGTCAAATTTGTCGTGGGAAACCAAACTTCATTGACCTCGGGGTCACCGATGACGTCACAGGTCAGGTCAAAGATAAAATGTTTCACCGTTCACGGAGCTTCTAGGGAAAGGGGCATTCCACGTCAAGTGAGACAAAAAATGACCATTTTGAACCTCACCTCCTCCGATTTTTGCGAAACTTTGTGAAACTACTCATCTGTATGTGAAAAGAAAGGAGACATGTTTTTGTCAAGATATGACGTCACGTTTCCGAGATACACGTCATCAAACATTGACTTAGGCAAGGCACATTATCATCTTTAAAGCGTCATAACCATTGAAGTTTTAGACATATCACCATGAGACAAAGTGTGAAATGGAGGGAATAGATCAGGCTTTAATTTGAGGATAACAATATTGACATAGTTAACTAATTAATGAACTAAATTAAAATTCAAAAAATAAATTTTGATTTTCTGAAAAATGGGTACCCTTCGATTTTGCTGATTTTCTCATATTTTATTCTCCCATACATAAGCTACATCATATAAAAAATCCAGAATGGGCAGACGTCTACGTAACTGCCTTTTGGACTTCGGAATGTCTGGCACTCGCGTGTTTCGTTTTAGCAACCAAAGAGAGGCGCTACCCGGAGATGCTTCTTTCTGCCCCAAACCAAAGCAAACCTAGCCTGACCTGACGTGACCTGACCTAATCTAACATGCGTAAATATGTACAGCCCTCACGGCAGTTGCCGACTGGCCAAATGCTACTTAGATACGAACATTAGCCCTCACGACATTTGCCGGCTGGCCAGATGCTATACTTAAAAAACGAATGCGTGTTCAAACACTTGAGGCTAACCGGCCACGAGCCAGCCACCTTTAGATTACGAGGTGGGTACACTCGGCACACTAACTACTAAGCCACGGAGATAGCTGGTCATCGCGGAGATGTAAGCCAGTTTTTTTAATGATGGAATTGGGCATTCTCCGGGCAGCGCCTCTCTTTGGTTGCAAGAAGGAAATACGCCTGACTCTCCCAGCGCTAGGGGAGAAAGGCCCGGTTTAGCCAAAAAAAGGTATAAAAAAATGAATTTGAATTGTAGGTGGGGCGGTGGGGAACTTTATCGTGTGCCAATTTCATGGCCCTAGATCAATATCTTCAAGATCAAATGAGGTTAATCGTGATGAAATTTGCTATGGTGACTATTTTGCGTTTATGCGCCCATAGCTCTAAGAGTTACTGGCCGATTTTCCTATTTCTTCCTTTTTACGACATTTGTAGTATTATGAGAATCTTTAGATAATCTAACCATAAATTTGGCAGTTAGTGGCCTGCTAAGAGTAAGATGTCGCCGGCAAAGGCGCGGGGATCGGCCGACGCGGGAAACGTTTCAGTCACAGATTGTGTTTGCACCCTAATAATTCAATTTTTACCAGTTGGTTTTCGTATTTATTTGACCATTAGTTTGCCTGTACATTTTTAAGCCTTCACACAAAATTTGACACGAATCGATCATAATCAGCGGTAAGAAGCGCAGTGCAAAGATGGAACCGTCCGGCGCCGGCACAGTCTACCATTCAGGCGGCAACGGCCGACGCCGGCCGCCGCGCCGCTCCGGCAAGATGTTTGACTTTACACCGCTATTACCAGAAAAGTTGTGGACCGATTTACCTATTGCTTGCACAGGAGGATTTGCAATTCAATTCTGGACAGATGCTGAAAGTTTGACGTTAATATAATAGTTATGGCGTGAGTTATTGGCGAAAAACAGGTGGGGTTGGCGAAATCCGCCCCTTCCATCGCCCGTGCTACGTTGCACTACTTGTTGCTATATCATCCAAAGTTATCGTTGGCCCACTCTAATTTTCTCAGCACGTATGCCTTACGTGTGGTGGAAGATAATGTCCAAATTTGAGCAAAATCGAAGGGTACCCATTTTTCACAAATTAGATTTTAAGAAATTAATTCAAAATAAAATAAATTCAAAATCACCAAAAAATGTTAAAATTACCAAATTTAACTAGCATAACTCCTCGTGTTCACGTTTCCGTTTGTTTGAAATTAATAGCTTCAAAAATGTTGAAGCTATAGATCTTTCAAGATTACAATACACGTCCAATTCTGCTAAAAAAGCAGAAGTTTAGCGGCTTGTATCTCTGTAGCCCGAGGGCATATGACAAAATCCTTTGACCCTCAGAGGTTTCACCCAATAGCCAACAAGTATACCAAGTTTGAACAAAATCGCAGAGGTGGCCGATTTTGGCTGTCCCGGTTGACATGGAATGCCCCGAAAGCGCTATAACACCGAGTAAAACGCATTTTGTCGAAAATCAGCGATAAGGCGTCAGTTGTCTAGTACATATGTTGCTATTAGAGGTCACTGGTCATACCAGGTCAGGTCACAGGTCAGGTCACCAAAGGTCACCAAGGGTCATCACATGAGCCCAACTTTACTAAGGTTATGCGATGCATGTTTTATGACCAGTTTTTCATTTCCAACTCAATGGTGTTGGTTACAAGACCATCAGGTACGGTTTAGGTCACTTTCTGGTGGAGGTCAGGTCAAGGTCAGGTAACAAAGGTCAAATTTCAAAGTTGATATTTTTGCATAAAATGGGCATCGATTCGATGCAGCTCGTCACGGGGAGTCTAATTGTGGTCTTTGTTTTGCGCTACGAGGTCTAAAATTGCTAAAAATTGAGTTTGAAAATTTGACGTCATCAATTTTGAACAGTTTTTTCACTATAACTTGGCCAAAAAAAGAGGTATCGATCTCAAATTTGGTATTTAGATAGAAGGCGGTAGGGGCTATCACATATATTCCGGTTTTTTTCGAAATTCAAAAAACGTTTTGGATTTTTTTGGCTATTATATTCAAAAAATCTATTTTTTATTTTTGGGGGTCAAAATCCAAAAAATTCGTTAAACTGAAATAACAGTTTTGTAGCCCTTTTAATTCCACACCTTTCAGGTCTGAAACATTTTTCTGTATCTCTAAAACTGTAGGCCTGACAGCTCTTCCCGCGAAACCTTTTTTTGGGTCGAAAATGGCAAAAATGACGTCACTCTGACGTCATTATCGGCCAACCTATCATAGCTTTGGAATTTTTTTTGGTCTCCATGTGCGCTAGCTGCTCCCGGGAGGGTACTGAAAGTTTGGTGACGATCGGCGCAGCGGTTCTCGAGATATATCGAAAAAACTAAAGGGGGGCAAAAAATGCCCCCCCCCCACCGCCTGGAAGGTTAATGCCACGTGCTTACGCTATTTACAAAAAAAACTTTGCTATTCCGTTGCCGCTAAATCATTTCAATTTTATCCTAACTTTGTACCGTTTTTTGTGACATGGTTACCTGACCTGAAATGACTGGGACTTGAAATCATCAGGGAGGTACCAAAAGAATACCCGTTTCTCCATGGGGTATGCCAAATCTGGGGTCGCTACGCGCCGTAATTTGTACGCCATCTGCTAGAAACCTCAGGGGGTACTTACATCACCCGCCCCCCTGGCCGGCCGAGGGTTAACCCGCGACCCGTGGGGGGGCAAAGGGTTCCCTGTGGTTTTCCCCAGATTTCTTAGAAACGGCTGCGAATTTCGACTGGAAAAATCAGGTCCCAGTTCATCTCAGGTCACGAGCTAGAGAGGTCAAACTGAGGTCATATTCGGCGATTTTTCGTCGAGAAAAATGTTCAAGTAGAAAAATCGCAAAAAATCAGGGTTTCAACTTAACGACTCACCAATTGGATCGTAGGTGTAAAAAAGCATTGGCAAACAAAATGGCTATCTCGAAATTTCTAATGTTAAAAAATTTTTGGATCAAGGGATTTTCTAACTCAAAATTTAGATTTGAGAAATTTTTGAACTTTGGGGACATTTAAAGAAACGTTTTATATACTAGAGAACCCCTGATTGGCCTTAAACATTCCAAAATTAACAAAATATCTAAAACTGCCTGAGATATAGCCATTTGAATGACTGGAAATGTAGCCTATTCTTATGACGTCACAATATTTTCGGTATTTGTGCTTGAAATCAGTCATGAGTAATTTTTATGATTCTTGTTAACCTCTTGCTGACTGAATATAACACTTTACGTGAGTAATGTCACTTTTACGTAAAAAAAGTTTTTCGTTGTAAACCGGTACAATTTTACCTTATTTGACCTTGCTGTGACGACATAGGTCCAAGAAAAATGGTTAAGGAGGTTTCTGTGGTTGCATATATGACATGTCTTCATAAAGACTCGAATATTCACAATGCAACATGCCTTTCCTTATGATTCACGAAAGTGCTTTCTGATTGGTCGAGGCTGACCTCTGTTGTGACGTCACAGGTCATCATCCACTCAGATGACTATCCACATGCCATGTTTATCATATATGTACATCATATTCAGACTCGGCTATTGGTTCCGGAGACACGACGGGGGGGGGGGGCTTTGGCCCCTTTGGTTAATGTCGGATTATTTTTGCCGTGTCTTTGGAATCACTGACAATCTGTTGCGGCCCAGCTCATACGGCGTGGGCCGAAGCATAGTCGCCGTGACGTCACCGCTGTTCGCAACTGGCTGCCGCCATGAGTGAGCTCGTACCCCAGTGTGCGCTGTGTGAGCGTCGAGCCAGCAGGTGAAACAATGGCTCTCCCAACAAAGCCGGCCAGCTCGGGAGGCCATAGGATGTGCAAGTAAGTTGGGCGTTATTTGGTTATTTTATCTGTGTTAAAAAGGGATTGTTAGAGCTTAACCCTATTATTGGGGGGGGGGGCGAATCGGCCCCCACTTGTAGCTTTTTTTTTGCTCTCGATGGAAAACGACTTAAGCCAGGGGCTCGAAATTTGGTGACTTCCTTGCTATTCATTGGGCACATTGTGTCAAACTTTTGAGTTTCTAGCTTGCGCAGAGGCGTCTCCAGGACGAGTTTCTCGGGGGAAGTTTTTAACCCAGATTTGACTGTTTTGACATTTGCCGCTAAGCAGCGACTTACTTAGGTTTATTCTGGTGACCAGTGGCACCACCCGTCATATGTATGCGCCTAAAAACTATGTGACGTCATTTGACATTGACAATATTGGAATAGGCGGTTCCAGGTACCTGAGAAAGGAGATAATATCAATGTACTACCCCCCGTCTTAGCGTGCCTGAATCCGCCAATGCTTAACAAAAACGTGTATTTGGTGCTCACGTTGCATATTTTACATGATATGACACACACATCATGTCATAAGACACATGATATGCCATGACAAAAACTCAAAACATCATCCCAAGTTAGCTTACCTGAATCCACTTATGATTTTTGATTATCCAAAATACCGGAATATGTATAAAGGCCCACCTCATGAAGAAAGGTTTCCTGAAGTTTCATCAAAATCGGTCAAAAAAGAAAGAAGTTATAACATTTTAAGTGATGCGGTGTAAAACGCGATTTCTTTCTTCGAAATCTTTGCTTGCAGGATCCCCAATTTAGAACTTTTATCGATTTTTTGTACTTCTGAAAGTTCACGATGAGAGCAATCGAATGACGTTTGTCCCATTAAGATCGAACATTTATTTTTCGAGATATCGGGGGTCGAATCGGCCCCCTCCAACAGTTAGCGTAGTCCAGAGAGCCCACCAGTAATAGGGTTAAAATTGAAAGGGATCACCTTGTTTGGCCCTTTGCTGGAATGATTAGGCTCTGCCATAGATAACCTAGGTAGTTCATATTAGCTATGGCTCTGCTAATTCTAATGATACAGGGAGCACTCTATAAGGGTGCCTGTTTTTCCAGCTCCCATCAAATTATTAACAAGCGCACCGACGGAGGGGGACGGGGCGATTGACCGCAGCCCCTCCCCCCTGAGGTTTTTCGTGAATAACGGAAAAACGCGGCGCTTAGCGCCGCGAAATTTGGCATGACTCTCATTAATTTTACAAATGGTATGCAAGTTTGAACCTCCTATTTTCAAGGTCAAGTCACCAGGCTACTTCGAATGACACAACCTCAAATTACTTTTTTGCAACTTTGTCTCTGTTCTGTGTCAGAGCTATAGTAGATGGCGGAGGCCTTTGAAAGTCGTAGGATGTAATAAGGTCATTGATTGCTACAATTGGTTAATCTCGGAATTTTGAAATCGATGGCCTAGAGTGAGGTCAATTTCTTGACTACCCCATTTAATGTCAATGGGGGAAAATCAAACACCTATTTTTTCACTAAAACGTGTCGAAGTGGCCCAATATACCATGAATGACTTCATATACGATCAACCTTGACTACCTTGAGGCCTTTTTTGCTCTTGGGCAACTGTAAGGTCATGCGACATCATCAAGGGTCACCAAAGTTTTTTTTTGCTAATAGCTCTTTACAGGAACGAGATAAAGTCGCGCGAATGGTCTCAATATGTTCAGCTAGTCAAGACACATCAAATAATATACATGCTGACCTTGAAGTCACGTCACCTGAGGTCACCTTTGACCTTGACCTTTGGAGGTGACCATATATATATATATATATATATATATATATATATATATATATATATATATATATATATATATATATATATAAATATATATATATATATATATATATATATATATGTTATATGTATATGTACCTATATATATGTATGTATGTATGTATATGTTATATGTATATATGTTATATGTTATATATATATGTTACAGGGAGTATGCGATTTCAGTTAGTTTGCAACGACCCTAGGGTGGTTGTAACCTCCCTGAACGATCAGTTTGTTTGCAACGACCCTAGGGGCGTTACAAAATAACTGCTCGTTCCGGGACGTTGTAACGAAACTAGGGTCGTTGCAACCTCCCTAGTTAGTATGCAACGAACCTAGGGTTGTTACAAAATAGCTAGGGAGTTTAAGAATTCATCGAGTCTTGTTCCACAGGAGGGCCGTCAACAATCTTGTCCAATGAAAATCTTGTTCAATCTAGTTCAGTTAAAAAAGGAAAACAAAAATTGAACATTCAGCTCAGGAGTATTTTTACGACGGCCATCTAAGTACACATTTTGTACAGATTAGGTGCACATTTAGTGCAGATTTGTTCAAATTAGATGGGCATTCGCCAGGAAGCCCTTCGTAAAAACGGCTATTAGCCGTTTTCACGACGGCCATCTGGTACACATTTGGTGCACATCTGGTACAGATCAGGTGCAGATTTGGTCAAATCAGGTTCAGTGTGTCTCTTAGCAGCTATCAGCTAGGGTTGCACTAATTGCTTATATGCCTGCTTTGTCATATTATCAGAGAGCATCATCGATTAACCCTCGCATGTGTAGGGGGGGGGGGTCGGATGGACCCCCCCATGTTTTTTCGCGAATAACTCGCGTAAAAAGCGGCCGATCGCGACGAAACTTTCAGTACCCTCACATTGATCAATTTTACACCTACCCTCAAAATTTCATTACCCTGACCCAAATGACCTTTGACCTGTGACCTCTTTTCCGAGACCATGTTTGGCCGGAATCGCGATTCTGCGTATGTCGGCTCGCATTAGCCGCGCGTTTGCAAGCTTTTCGTGGTTTCAAACGTTCAAACATGTAATTTGATGTTACTCCCGTGGGTGTCAAGGTCACCTGAAGGTCAGGTCAGGTCATTGACCTTTGGTGACCTCGGGTGACCTCGGTTCACTTTTTCGAGTTTTACATGTTTCTAGGCTAGTTTTTGGAGCTGAATTCGAATTTAGCAACCATTTGAACATTTACGAAGTAGTTTTGGTGACTTCGTAACATGTTACGAAGCTGTCAGAGGCGGTGGACACGTACTACGAATACCCGTCACGACGCCTACTGGTTGACCTGACCTGACCTGACCCGACCTGGTCTAAATGCTTCAAGACATCATCTGTGATCAAAACTAACACGATATTCGTGATCAGCACCCCGAAAAACCCCTTAGCAGCCACTCTTTACGACTTTCTAACAGGTCCCGATTTTCCCGACTTTGGGGTCATTGACCTGACCTGGAAGGTCAACCAATGACCTAGGACCTTAAAATTGGGTATCATCGGCTTCCTCTCGTCACGGGCAACACGCTCGTTTTTTCCGCGAAGCTCTAGCTCGATCAGGGGCCAAACGGCAAGGGGGGGGGGTCCAACCGACCCCCCCCCCCCTACACATTAGAAGCTGGCAAACGCCGCACACATGCGAGGGTTAAAACACTGAAATAAACATAAAATGAAGATATTTGCTGCAAAAGAAATTGTGTGCAGATTTGGTCAAATCAGGTGCATTCGCCGGATAGCCCGTCGTGAAAACGGCTATTATCCGCTCGTTTCCAGTCTTTTTGTGATTGTAAACGTTCAAACATGTGGAATGATTGTGGTCCCATGCATTATGGTGGGTGTCAAGGTCACGTAAAGGTCACGTCAAGGTCATTGACCTTTGATGACCTCAGTTCACTTCTTCTGGGTTCATTTATTTTTCGGCTAGTTTTTGGAACTGATTTCGAATTTAGCACACATTTGAACATTTTCGAAGTAATTTTGCCGCCTTCGTACCATGTCACGAAGCTGTCAGTGGTGGTTGACACCTACTATGGACAGCTAGCAAGACGCCTACTGGTTGACCTGACCTGACCTGACCCGACCTGGCCTAAAAACATCAAGACATCATCGATGATCAAAGCTAACATGAAATTCGTGATCAGCGCCTCGAAAAACCTCGCAACAGCCAACAACCTAACTCTTCAAAGTTTTAACAGGTCCCGATTTTCCCGACTTTTGAGTCACTGACCTGACCTGGAAGGTCAACCAATAACCTAGCCCCGCCCTGTGCGTTTGCGGCTAGCAAAACACAAATAAGGGCGAGAGTTAACCCCGCCGGACCTGTTGGTTTTCTACATACGCGCCGGCCGGGGGAGGGTTGGTACGACCCCCTCGTCGTTTTTCGCCCCTGATGGAGTTAGACGTCGCAGAAAAAACGAGCGTGTGTGACGGTAGGAGACGCAGCAACTAGTACCCGATTTTAAGGTCTCAGATCAACCGGTGACCTCTGAGGTCAGGTCAAGTGGCCCAAGGTACGGGTTCAGTTTTTGATAAATAACTTCTTAAAAAACAGTCGCAGAGCGCGATTTTAGCATCAACGTGCTCGCCTTGTTCAGGCGCGTCGAATGGTATACTTTTTGTTCGGGTGAGGTCAACTTGAGGTGTTGACCTCGGGTCAATGTCAGGTCAGAGACCCCTAGGTCGCGAAATTGGTCAAAGGAGATCATATTGCATATTATTCGCTTCGGCAGGTCTTCCTCAGTCCATTGGTGGCTTGACCGACTCGCTAGCTCAGTTTGATCGGGACTTATTGACGAAAAGCTCGTATGACCCAAGTGACGTCATAAATGACGTCACGCAACGTCAACAATGCAAAATTGAAGCGCTTGCAAGGAGTGCATGAAATCACGATCCGTGTGCTTGAGATAGTTTGAGATCGTTCCCGGCGCCAGAATAGCAGTTTTCATTTTTCTCAATTAACTTATAGTGGTGAGGTCACGTGACCGACCTGCCCTCATGTGATCTTTAGGAAAAATCCTAGAGGTACAAGTTGTGAGACTTCTAGAAGATGCCCGTACTGTAAGTTTCATCCCCTGTAAAAGCTCCTCTGGGACTGAGGGCGTTGCGAAGTTGCGGCATCTGAGGACCGCTCACTTTTGACGTCATAGGTCAGTAACCTGACCTGACCTGAAAA